TAAAAAACTTACAAAGTATGGAAGGGTTTCTCATTCTCAAAAAATCATACAAAATAACCAAACATTAACATCAGACGAAGATACTGCAGCAGCTTTTTTAAAATCTGTGATAAGAAAAGTGATACTAGTCTAGTGTGTTCTGGTGTCCCACAGGGATCGGTGCTTGGCCCTTTACTTTTCTCAATATATAAATGATATAACTAACTATAATATAAAAGGCTCTATGACACTATTCACTGATGACACTGCACTATTCTATACTGGTAATGAAAGGGAAATTTTCGAAGATGCTCAAAGAGACCTTATTAAAATTTGTGATTGGACTAGTCAAAATAATATTAAGTTAAATTAAAATAAGTGCAATTATATAGTTTTTAAGAATACACACTCTTCACCAATAAGCCTAAGGATAAACAATACGCCAATAAGTGAAGTAAAACATGCTAATTACCTCGGACTCACTATAGACAATAAACTAAATTTTGAACAACACATACGTGAAGTTAAAAAATCCATCAACAATATGTGCTACTTTCTACGCAGAAATGTATTCCTAATGAATCAAAAAACCAAATTCCAGATCTACTATGCTGAATATATGCACACTTAACTTACCTCCCATGCATTTGGGGACAGGCCAGAAAATGTGATATTAAGGATTTACAAATTTGTCAAAACAAATCAGTAAAAATAATATATAATAAACCACCTATGGCAAACACAATAGAAATGTACAAAGAACTTTAGATTCAAGAAATCATTAATCTAGACTCCATGATCTTAGTGTACAAAATAAAAAACAATATTTTAATTACCAAAATTAAGCTGCAATTAAACTTTGATTTACACGAACACAATACGAGGACCAGACAACATTTCCATGTGGTACCAAATTCTTCAAATGTGGGAAACAAGAAGATCTCCTCTCAGGCTGTGATATTGTTTAACCAACTATCAGAAAATATTAAAACGCTTACATCCTTAAACTTATTTATTCTTAATTTAAAAAATATTTGTTCTCACTGAGAACTTGACATGTATTAATATATATTCTTTAATTTATACCTGTTGTAGATGCTTGTAATCTTTTAGGGTTTAAAAATTACATAAAAAATACTTTAAAAAAAGCTATGAGTTTTTAGATGATCCAAATTTCAATGCTACAAATCTAAATTCTATTAATAACTGGTACATTTTCTTTAGTTCAAAAAATGACAAGTTAACGATACCTACCATCAGCGAAACAGACTACTACAAGGTCCTTCTTGAAGGAAAGAACTCTGCCCCAGGACATGACCATGTCAACAGAAAAATCCTAAGAAATCTGTCTCCAGAAATCCACGAGTACATCCTAAAAATTTATAATTTCTGCATAGAACATCAACACTTCCCTTCAGGTAGGAAAGAAGGCATTATTATTACAATACCCAAATCTAACTCTGCTTCAACCCCAAGTGATTTCAGACCAATCACACTTCTACCGGTGATAGGCAAACACTTTGAAAAAATCATCAAAAACTTCCTTCTTCAAGAGCTTGGCGATAAGATCCCGCAATATCAATTTGGCTTCAGAAAAGACACTCCACAATTCATCCTCTGATCACCCTAGTCTCGAATTTGCAACATCACAGCATTATGGGTCATCATTCAGCAGCCGTCTTTCTGGACATCAGTAAAGCCTTTGACAGTGTATGGCATAGAGGTCTATTATATAAACATTATCTACTAGATTGCCTGGAATATTTAATGTGGCTTATTAAAAACTCTGGATAACCGTTCCCTCAAAATTAAAATCAGCCAATATATTTCACCATCATTTTCAATTGCCCAAGGCATACCAAAAGGTTCCCCACTCTCTCCAACACTGTACAACTTTTATGTTCATGATATAATAGATACCACCTCTATGCCTCTAAAAATTTATATCCTACAGTATGCTGACGACACTGCTTTAATATCACATCACAAATCTCGCTCAACTGCAGTAGCTAACCTTTAAGAATCGATTAATATTATATCCGACTGGTTTTCAAAATGGAGAATAAGAATTAATTCCAGAAAGTCCCAATTGGGATATGATAAATTAATTTATCATATTTAATCACAAAATAAAAGATACCTCACCACAAATTTCAATTGACAACCAACTAATCTCCCTCACAAACAATATTAAATATCTCTGAATGATTTTTGACTTAAGGCGTATTCATGCTCACTTAAAATAAGAAATAAGAATAAGAAATAAGGAATAAGAAATAAGATCGCGATTGATCGTTCATGCTGATAACATAAGAAATAAAAAATGTTGTCACACAATTATATTTTATTATAGTGGATTATATTGGCTATAAACTAGTGAAGGGACTATTCGAATACAAATAATCGAAGTATTCGATTCTGGCGTGCATTCGAATGCATTCGATTCTCAACAAAGTATTCGAATAGTTCGAACTATTCGAATCGAATCGAAAGCGCTTGCGTGTCATCGAGCGGAAGGTGGGAGACGAGAGATTTCTCTGCATTCGAATTCACGCCAAAGTTGATTTTTTGTATCGCATGGAGAATCGGCTTGCATCGAGCTGGACCAGCACTGCTTGTGTTAATTTTAATATGTACTAAAATCTAGTAAATATAACAAAAACATAATTATCTAACAATTATTATTAAAACTTTTTAAATGTCACAAAAATAAAACATATAACCGACGTTCCAACCAAATTAAAAATAAAGAATGTTGAATTTTGGTGACTATTTCCTTAAGGATTTTAATTTTGAATCAAAAGGTATTATTTTATTAAAAATAAAGAGCATACATTTTTACTTTATTACAATAGGCCATATTTACAAAACCTGACAAATAATATGGTTTATGTTTTATGACAAAAATAAAGAAAGCCTGTCATAAATCAATTAGTAGGTATATTAGCCGGTTTAGAATTTATATTGCACCCAGTGCGACGCCAACCCGCTTAGCCCATAACGAATTGTAAACAAAAAATAAAATGACCATTCGAATACTGAGAATCGAATAGTTTGTTCCGAAAACATTCATTCAATAAATGTTTTCGGCTATTATCGGTTCCGATTCGGAACAAACTATTCGATTCTCTGCATTCGAATGATCATTCGATTCTTTAGACTATTCGAATGCAAAGTATTCGATTCTTAAAATCATTCGATTCTCCCTTCACTACTATAAACGTAAACAATCGACAGCGACACTCAACGCGATTTCCAACACCATGGCTCCATGGCCAGCACATAAAACCCATCAAAATAATTCACAGACCCATTTTGGTCCTTTGCGCAGTTTTATACGCAAGAATAAGAACCAAAGTTAAAAATTGTTAATCTTTATTCTTATTTCTTATTCCTTATTTTCATGAGCATGAACGCAACCATTACTTTACACAGTTTTAACTTTTTATCTTATTTCTTATTCTTATTTCTTATTTTAGTGAGCATGAATGCGCCTTTAACTTCAATTTGTACACAAAAAAAATAAAACAAAAAATAGTCACTAGGGCAAAACATTTCAAATCCTTAACTTTTAAAAAGGAAGGTATAAGCTCTGAAACAGCTACCAACATCTACAAGATGATTTGTCGGCCACTGCTAGATTATGGTTCCATCAAAGCTGCAGAAGTCCAACCCTGAGGAATCTGGAGAGAGCTGAAACAATTAGCCTTCGACACTTAACCAAGATTAGATATCCACAAAATCCATTGCACAACCCCTCAAATTTGCTCCTATATGAAATGACCAACCTTATAACAATTACAGAGAGATCACGAAAACTGTCTTAGAAATTCAGCAATACAACCTCAAATTTGGATATTATTGAACCCTTCATTTTCCCAGACTCAGAAGGTAATCCAATAAAAAGAAAATTCCCAAGGAAGACCCTATGGAAAGTTATCTTAGATTTTCAAGTCCATTAAATATTGTTTCTTTTTTTTATATATAATTATGTCAAATAATTTTTTAACAAATTGATTGTTAATATATAAATGTATTTATCCTCAGTCATTAACCTTTTGGTTTATTCCAATAAAGATCATCTGATAGATGAATTTCTACTGGAAAACAAGGGAATGATCCAAAAAACGAATTATGTATTATTTTTGCTATAGTAAATTCTAGCCTGTATTACCGGCGTTACGATGTCAAACTCGACTATATAATTCGTATTTTGGACCATCCGGATGCATCTCCTTGTTTTCAAGTTTAACGAAAAATTTAACTTAACTTTACTGGTGGCCCAAAGAAATTCAAGCTCGCCCGGAACCCCGGAGATTCTTCCTCAGGCCCGGAGAGGTGGTAACACTACTTGTAACTTATGAAAGTGCATTTTTAATGTTATGTGGAATAACTAGCCCCATCTATAAGTTAACTTCAAAACCCTAAATACTGAGCCATAAGTCGGAAATCAAAGTTTTAAATGTTTTGCGCAACTTTCTGAATTATGTATTTTACAGTTTAGAGGTACTGCAGTGAAGCTCTCTTGGTGGCAAGATTCTACTTTGACCACTAGTGGGCAAAATAGCATTTCATCCATGGGCTGAAGTTAGCTTTAATTTAAAATTGGAAAAAAGTATTGGAAAAATTGGAAAAGTGCTTAACAGTCAGATGTTGAATAAAATATCAAATAAAAGTAGTTAAATAAAATATTGTTACTCCATGCTTGAGGGAACTCGTCTTTCTCCCACGATAATAAACTATTTTTCATCAAAATATTTGTAAATATTCAAAATTCAATAATTCTAAAAACCATGCCTGGCAACTAAAACACTTTTTTAGTTTATATTATAAACTTTATAAAAGAAAAAAATTTCTCAAACTTTTACTTTTTTCCAATTTTTCTGGAAATTTAATTTGCCAAAAGTAAATTATAACTTGTTTTATTGAAATTCCACAAGATAAAAAATACCAATAATTAGTAATTAATGAATATTTGATGGGCCTTATCTTATGAAAATAAAATACCTTGTTACACTTACTTCTGGAGGTTCAATCGCCCTTTCCACAGCCTCAGACATTAAGAAAAATGATATGAATAAAAGAAAGAGTCCATTTACAAAACCAGCTAAAATCTCTGCTCGCACATAACCATAAGAAAATTTATCATTTGCTTTCCATTTAGTTATTACCGTTGCTACCATGCCAGCCAATAATCCAGTGCAATCAAAAAACATATGGAAGGAATCAGATATTAAACCTACAAACAATTGTTAGCCGTAAGGTTTCATTCATATTTTGTATTTAGAACAAAAAAAGTAAAGTACATACCTAAACTGTTGCTCCATACCCCATAAACTAATTCTACGAAGGCAAACGACAAATTTAGTAGTAAAAACAGGAATAAATTTTTGGAATTTCTATCAGAAAAAATAAGTCTAATCCATCCATAGACTTTCTCTTTTAACTGGGAGCCGAAGCCCCTGTGGTAATTATCCTTATGCGATAAAGGTAACATGATTCACTTTTCTAGGTTTGTACAAATTTTATCTACTATATCATAATAATTTTTAAAGAACTAAAGATATGCAGTTTGCTTATTTATCACTTTAAAAATATACAAAAAAAACACAAAAAGGCCTCAAGTGGAAAGTTAAAACGCATTAAATTAACTGGAGAACTATAAAGTTTATAATTTTGGTATTTTTATTAATTTTTCCCAAGCCGAAACCGGCTGGAACTTTTAAAACCACAGAAAACAACCTGCCATGTTGTCACTATTTTCTGTCACTTGTCAAAAGAAAGGGCGACAACAGTAAGAAAAAAACAATTATTTTTATTTTTTTATTTAAACAATGTTAATAAAAATAATTTTATTTTTTAGTTGTTTTATATGTTTTTAAATGCTACTTAGTATTTAAATTATAAAAAAATACAATTTTGATTGTTTTCTAGTGTCTTTTTTGTTTTAACGTTGGTATAAAGCGTAAGTGACGACATTTCCGTGTGGTTATATCCTTTCTCTCAAAAGCCAACATGGTAGGTACCTCGTTGATTTCTCGTTCTTTTAATTTTTGTATAAAACACTTCAAGTTCGTGTAAATTATATATTGATTAAGGTATAAGTTAATACTTTTGCTATAATCGTCAAGTTTTTTCATATTGATTTTGTTTTATATATATGTCCATGCTGTTTTATTATGATGTAAAAATTCATTCAAGACCATCTCCGTGGTTGTTAAATCTGATTTAATGAGTCTGATATTATTAAAAGAAGTGTTTTCACATTGCAAAAGTGTTGGGAAAGTACCAATTTTTTTTTTTTTTAGCCTCCTAAGAAGGATTCCAAGTCGTCAGCCAAGCAGCCACAGAAGACCCAAAAGAAGAAGGAAGGGTCTGGCGGTGGCAAAGCCAAGAAGAAGGTAAGAAATTCTTGGTTAAGGGTTTTTAATTTTTAACTATAAAAACGCGATATTTTTAATTGTAGAAGTGGTCCAAAGGAAAAGTTCGTGACAAGTTAAACAACCAAGTTTTGTTTGATAAAGCAACTTACGACAAATTGTACAAAGAAGTTCCCTCATATAAATTGATCACCCCTTCAGTAGTTTCTGAACGTCTTAAGGTCAGGGGATCCCTTGCAAGGAGGGCTCTCATTGAACTCCAGCAAAAAGGTAAGCAAATGTAATCCTAGGAATGTAATGTTATGATTATGACATTGACATTTGCTCGACAGTTAATTAACCTGTGTTTTTTTTTTGTTTCAGGTCTTATTAAACAAGTTGTACAACACAGAGCACAACTTATTTATACTAGAACGACAAAGGGTGATGACCAAGCCACTTAATTATTAAGATAAATGTATCTTTCTATGTAATAAAAACATAAAAGACTATTTTGATTTTTTATTTCTAAAAACATTTAAAATCTAGAAATTTAAGTGTTAAATATTGAATTAGAAGAAATAATAAGTTTGTTTCAGCACACCTTTTTCTTATTTTATGTTGGTCAAACATGGACTGGGTTATGTCCAGTGGTGGCACGTAATTTATTTATTACAAGATTCCATATCAGGTACTATGCTCCACACCTCAAAGTCCCACTACGTAAGGAACGCAGTCTTGAAAATTTGGCATTTAAGGCTTTTCAGGTTATGTATCTGTCAAAGAATTAAGGAATATAAATACTGCATTTAATGAAATTCCAAACTTTGGAATCCAAAGTGTATGGTGCCAAATAAGTGATATTTTTGTGCATTGGGCCAACATTTCTCCATAAAATGGTTTTAACGAAACCGCATTTATTAAAAAAAAACTAACTTCTTCACTATGGAATACAGTGTTGCCAGATGTAAAAGTTTAAATTATCGAATTGGGTTAATAAAATTATCGAATTTTCGGAAAATTATGTTACAATAATTGTAATAATTATGTTACAATAGTTATTATAATTTAATCATAAAAAAGTGAAAGAAGCAGGGTTGAAAATATTATCGAATTTTTAGAAAATTATAAAAATTGTTAAAAATAGTATAAAGCTGGATTTATAATTCAGAAAGTAGCGGTAGCGGTAATGGCGGCCCCTCGCATAAAAGGAACGCCTAAATACAAACAAAGTTCGAGATAGAGGGCAATGCACGATGGAATAATCGTCTTCAATAGGGTGGTTAGGCTTCAATAGGGCGGTTACGGGGGGTTGGGTTGGTTGGGTTTGGTTTGATTTGGTTTGTTTTATTTTACGCAAAAATTATATTAAGATGGAGCCCATTCCTGCATTTAGGCGTTCCTAACGGTAGAGGCAGCGGTAGAAGTAGCGGTAGAGGTAGCGGTAGCGGTAGAGGTATCACTTTCTGCAATTTAAGCTGTATTTTAATCCAGCTCTTATGTTCTGTGATCCAGCTTAACGGCAAGGACGGTGCTGTAATAACATTTAAAAAACGCCGGCCGCGGAGTAGCAATACAATTTTTAAAACCACGCCGGCGGCGCAGTAGACTCTGCCCTGGTTATGTCCTGATTTATAGTGAGGTTATGATCATTTAATTTAACGCCGCGTCTAGAGTCCCGTCAGACGGTTCTCTATTGCGCTCCCGTTAACAGAGTGACGTCATCAAATGACGCAATCTTAGGACGGGAAGCAGATCTTTTTTCCTTAACCAACGTCCCGAGTCCGCCCGCTTCGAAACCAACCCAAACCCAACAACCCAACCCAACCGACCCCGCCCCATTGGCCCCCCCCCCGCCCCATTGAGTAAAAATTTTTCAACGAAGGAATATTCATTTAATTACATTTTATATTATATAACCAATGATATAACTAGCAAAATAATTATGAGGAAAGGTAAATAAATTAAAATATTAATGTAAAATTAAATATAAATGCTTTTAAGGCCACATTGTATTATTTCGGTATATAAATTCTTTAAAAAAAAATTAAAAAAAGTTGTACAGGCACGAAGTATCGAACCACGTACCTCTCGCATGCAAAGCAGGCGCCCTTCCATCGAGCTACCGAGGTTATTGTAATAATCCTATCGTTCGAAAAATAATACCTATTTACAGTGTGTGACGTCACAAAGTTTGAACGGGAGCGCAATGGAGACCCGTCTGACGGGACTCTAGACATTATGTTAATTTAACTATTTACACTTTGATTTATTTTCTAGGATGTTAATTTAGTGTTATTATCATGAAAAGTCATATTTTTACGAAGTTTGAATATAAATCAACACTATATAGATTAAATATTTTGTTTTCCAAAGAAAATATAGAAATTTCCGTTTTTGAATCCCTAAAAGCCTGGAAAGTAAATGTAAATATCCATAAATATATAAATGTGCTAATTATGCATAAACTAATTTTTCTATTTGCAGATTGACAATAAAATATTAAAAGATTTATCAATTAAATATGACACGAATATTACTGAATATTACAAGTCTCTAAAACTGAACTTTACAAAACCTCAAAACAACAGTATAACATTTGAAAATAATAAACTTATTCTTTTCACCAACACCAAAGACGACCTAAAAATCAAAGTTTTTGACTGTGAGCTAAACAAAGTAATTATTAAAATGCCTTTGTGATTCCATTTATGATTTTAAATTTTTTTTATTTACCTAGGTAGATTTTGGTGAGTTCATTTTAAACCTTTGTGATAATTTACATACTGAAAAGAGTAAAATGTACGATGAAGATGTAGAATTGGGAAAAAGATATAATGAATTATTGAAAAGTATGCTTTTTAATATCCTTCATCATTAAATTTGCTTTAATTGTTATTTTTAGGTAAAATTGAATGCACAGAAAAATTAAATGAGTTTATTGAACGCAAAAATATCGATGACGAAAATTTATTAAACAAATTTGGTACAATTTTAAATGAAAAAAAGCAGAAAATACAATATCTCACAGAAATAATTGAGTCTTTAAGTAATGGTGCAAATGAACCTGATTCAAGTATTGAGAAAAAGAAAAATGTAAAAAAAAGAAAGAAAAATGAAAGTGATAGTGATGATTAATATTTTAGTTATTTTTAATTATCACCCTTTTTGTATACATTATTAATAGGTAGCAATAAAAAATTTTCCTTAAATATGCTTTACCATGTTATTTTATTACATGTGTATTTAATACCCTGCAGGGTACATGTAGACCATCTCTATAGTGTGCTTTAAAATCTTTTTTTTACATAAAAATTTGTTTAACCAATTTTAAACAGTTCAAATAATAAAAATCTTATTGTGGAGTGAAGATCTTCCCAGACTGCAATGAAGGTTAGAAAATATTCCATGAATATGCCCTATCCCCTAAGAATAATCCGTTTCATTCTAGGAATATGTTGTGATTGGCAACCCCTGCTTAAAATACCCCATACCCACTGAGCAAAAAAACGTAAAATATATGTAAAATTAACGTCAAAGGTTGTAGTGTGACGTATAAGAATCTTGTAAAATAAACGTCACATAAACGTCGCTGTGATGTGCCTATGTCCGGATCCTGGGCCGTGAATTAGCCCTAACCGTTACGTGGATAAGGAGACGTAAAAATTACGTTTTTAAAAGGACGTAAAAATGCCATTTTAATATCGACGTATAGGTTTTGTTTCCACTTGTACGTAATAGTTACGTTTTTTTAAATAAAACTACCACTTTGGAAATATATTTTTTTTTTATTAAAATAAATAATAAAAATAAAACATAGTCTGATAAACATAATAAAAATAAAACATACCGCCTAATTAATTTTCGGTCTCGGTTCTCATGTCCAAATTTGGCCAAAAAACGTTATGAGCGTTGCTTGGCGGTTTGGAACAACTCCTTGCTCTCTTTATCGAAATCACTTTCAGTCAGACGAAATAATTTCATACTGGCTTCTAAAACAAACATTAATAACTTAAGTTATCTAAGTAATTAAGTATATAAAACTTATATAACTTGCCTGTCGCTCGGCGCAAAATTTGTCTCCCATGTTCACTGGTGTATTAACTGAAAAATCAAATTGATTAAAAGACTTTTCTTTAAGTCTAACAGCATTGATTAATATTACTTCTCACTCAACGCTAACATTTAAATCAACAAAATTCGATAACCACTAATAGCTCCATCATGGAGATATTGGGACAATTAATTAATTATATTATAACTGTATGGTTGCAAACAAATAATAAAGCCAACTTACCTAAACCCATATACCTATAAGTTATAGGTATATGCCTAAACCGTTCAGTCTCGCCTATGGAGAACAATGCGTTTTCTATCACACAGCAACAAATGGCAACACACTGTGTTGAACACAGAACAATGGCAGTCGCAACGCAAACAGAGTATGCCCTGTTACAGGGCCCCTTTTATACCGATATATCGACTGGAAACGAAATTACCCGAGTCCTTTTTTACGTAAATTTTACATAAAATATACGTTTCTTAATCTCACTATGCGAGAATAATTATTATTTTATAAGCGGTAATATTAATTAATAAATCACTCTGGGATTTATATTAAATCATTAAAATAATAATTGTACCTACTTACATTAGTTTCTAAGTAAGTACCTACCTTGGGTTTAATCTAAAATTATGAATTAAATTTGGTATTTAATTATCTAAGTATACACTCAAATTTCCAACAAAAATGTAAATGTGGCATATATTTTAATGTTCATCATTGGCAAACCTATCACATTCATATTTATCATGTGTCACATTGGTGACGTAAAATGTACGTTGTGTTTTGCACCTAATACGCTAAAGTAAAATAAAAGTCATAGACTGGACGGTATAGTGACGTGCTCGACAGCACCTTTTATTTTTTAGCGTAATTTTTACGTAAATTGAACATCACTAAAGAACGTAGTTAATGTGCCTTAAAATTGACAATTTTTAAACGTCACTGTGACATCACCACATCCATAATGTTCAGTGGGTAGAGACCCTGTTCAAACCGATATTGAAATGAATGGTGTTTCCATAGGGTGTATCGGTGTGTATAGGACCCATAGTTGGAATTTATGGTTGTTCTATAGGGATATCCACCCTTGATTTATTTGCTATTGGTTTCAATGGGGAAAATACACATAAATGTAGAAATTAGTTTTTCCCCCATAGGACCCCATAGGTTTTAATAAAATTTTGTCAAATGTTTTATGGTTGTTCTATAGGGATATCCCTATAATATATATCACAATGTGGATTGTGATATATATTATATCCTTCATTTAGTTATTTGCTATCGGTCACAATAGGGAAAATGTAAAAGTTATGGTGTGCCTAAACATGGACAATTGTAAATGCACATATTGAATCCGGTAGCGCCCGATAGATTATTTTATATAAGTAGGTCTCTATGCCATAGGGGTTGCCAGATTCTGTCATTGAAATGCTGAAACAATTGACTAGTTTGTACCGAAACGCTACCAAAAGAGCAGACGTCAGGACGCATCAACAATCAGCGCCGCTGGTGGTGAAAAAAAGACTTAATTTGTGCAATTTAGAGGGCAGGTTTTGTCAATTTTCCCTATTAAGTTCGGGCTCCTTGTGTAGGCTCCATGGAATATTCATTACTAATGAATATTCCATGGAGCCTACACAAGGAGCCCGAACTAAACTAATGAATTATTAGTTTAGTTGCAATAGACCTATCTCATAAAACGGACTTTTGGATAGCGCGTGCGTGAAAAGGCACGTCGTCTTTTTTTAATTATATAGAAGAGAAAGACATACCACTCTTCTTCAGGCACGCGCTATCCAAAAGTCTGTTTTATGGGATAGGTCTATACCTCCCACCGTTGCTTACGCACGCTTGATATACCGATAGGTTAAAAATATCAGTAGATGTGCGTCTGTAATGGCACAGCTAAACAATGATGAGTGGGAGACTCCCACTGGGAGTCCCACTGTGGGACCATAGATAATAAATCATGAGTGGGACTGGTACGCATGCGCGGCCAGTACCGCTACCGCTACTCTCTAAACTATAAATTGCAGAAAGTGATACCGCTACCGCTACCTTTACCGCCCCTTACGGAAAAACACTGTTAACACTGCACAACATTATGCAACACTACTTTTGAATAATGTTTTCGTTAAAAGTGTTACATAGTGTGACCAGTGTTGTTTAGTGTGGCCAGTGTTGTTTAGTGTGACCAGTGTTGTTTAGTGTGACTATTGTTGTATAGTGTGATTAGTGTTGCAGTGTTAATAGACCTAGCCCATAAATCGGATTTTTTTGGATAGCGCGTGCGTGAAAAAACGCGGCAGTCTTTTTTTATTAGAATTCTAATGAAGAAAGAGACTGTCGCCCTTTTTAACGCACCCCCTATCCAAAAAATCCAATTCATGGGATAGGTCTAAAGCTATTTATCACTGCGGAATGAAATATTTCAGTCGACAGTGTTTTATTATAATTTGAAAATTATAATTTAATTTAAGTTTACATTGAAAATTAATTACGAAAAGTTCGCACAATTATGTTTTATCTGGTAAATTTAAGTTCCAATTGTAAATTAAAATTTACAATAAATTTTTATCTAATTATTAAATTAATTTTTTTTAATATTAATTAAAAAAAAAGTTTAAACAGTAGAATTCTGCATTTTTTGGTGCTTTTTTAGCATTTTTTTTAATTGATAAGGTTCAAAAATATTTTTTAATTTAGTTATTTAATTAAAATTAATTGGAAATTCTAATTTTCAGTTGAAACTTAAATTTATCAGATAAACACTTATATTTATATGAACACTACACAAAACTGCTTATTACAGCAACATTAATCACTTTAACACTATGGGCAAGTCGTTAACACTGTTGGAACACCATGAACACTATGCAACACTCTTTATCACTGTGCAACATTACAACAACACTAGTGCAACACTATGGTACAAGTCGTTAACACTGTTGGCACAGTATTAAAATCGTCAGTAGTGTTGTACAGTGTTTAATAGTGTTTAATACTGTTCGAACAGTGTTTTTCCGTAAGGGGCTACCACTACCTTTACCTCCCCTGCTTAAAATACCCCATAGAGACCTATACAAAATAATCTATCGGGCGCTACCGGATTCTATATGTGCATTTGTCCATGGGTTTTTCCGGATACAGCCCGATAGAAAATGTATAGGAAATTACCTATAGGCACACCATAACTTTTACATTTTCCCTATTGAGACCGATAGAAAATAACTCAATGAAGGATATATAGGGATATCCCTATAGAGCAACCATAAAACATTTGACAAAATTTTATTAAAACCTATAGGGTCTTATAGGGAAAAAACTAATTTCTACATTTATGTGTATTTTCCCCATTGAAACCGATAGCAAATAAATCAATGGTGGATATCCCTATAGAACAACCATAAATCTCAACTACGGGTCCTATACAAACCGATACACCCTATAGAAACACCATACATCCCGATACAAATATCTATCGGTTTGAACAGGGTCTCTATGGGGTATTTTAAGCAGGGTCTACCTTTACAGCTTTAAGCTGGATTTATAGTTTTAAAGGTAACGGTAGAGGCAGCGGTAAAGGTAAAGGTAGCGGTAGCGGTAGCCGAGTTCGGCATTGAATATTGTACGAAAAAATTTATAGTTGTCAGAGGTAGCGGTAATTACCTATCTCTTGCCGCTACCTTCTTGCCTTTACCTCTAGAGGTAAAGGCAAGAAGGTAGCGGCAAGAGATGACCATCCCAGTAAGCACAAGGCATTCGGCAAACTGTCGGCCTCCGCTCGGCACAAGCGGCAGGCCGGCTGTTCGGCTTGCCCCAGGCGGCCCGCTTACGGTCCTCATTATGGTAGCCCGGTTACCGTGTGGCCATCGTCTAACCCTGTTCGGTTAGATAGCGGCAATGCCACAGTTTACTGTGGCAATGCCGTTGCATATGCGGTTCGGCTTGCCCCCAACCGATCCGCGTACGGACCGTGTATGTAAGCCCGGTTAGCGAATGGCCATATTCTAGCCGAAGCCGTCCAGAACCTGGCCAGCATCACGATTTAATATTGTAAATTGGATTTGGGCGAGATTTAAATTAGCCGCTCTTGCTGGGTTATCGCGTTGGCCAATAGCTAT